TCCAAACATATCATGATCCCAGTCTCTTATCTCTGCCTCCTCAACTTAACAAGATTTTTTACTTTGTTTGGGCTCCTCTCCATGCATTTCCGTTCTATATGTGCCCCCAGGTAAAAAGCCAGACCCAACCTAGGCTCACTTCACATGCTTCTCTTGTCACACTGTTTCTGGGCCCTGTTGCCAATTTTACTCAGTTTGGAAACTACTGTCTTGATATTTCGTCCAGTTTTATAGTTGTTTATAGTCAGAGGGCAAATTTGGCTCTTGTTACTGTCATGGCTCTCCACTTCTTAATAGCTTAATAGTAATATTTTTTGCTATTTAAGGCACGACTCCGTAGATTAAACATCAAATCAAGGACTTTGCCTACCTTTTACTCCTGGGTCCTTAGTACCTAAAACACTGTGTGGATTACAACTAGCACTCAATAAACATTTTTACAATAAATTAGTGTGTTGTTCAGTGGGGCATTCAGGATGAAAACAAACTTTGTTTAATAAGATAGTTGACCACATTTAGGAATATGCTATAGAATTAGGAATATGCTGGGATAACCCACAGTGATATCCAAAAGGGAACAGTGTACCTCCAGGAAAGTTTGTCAGCTTGTCTGAAGACACATAGGCTGGCTTTTACCACAAATTCCAACCTTGCCAGTTCTGAATATCGATGTTGTCATCTTGTTAGCATGCCAAGAAGGACTCAGCTCTCAGGAGAAGGCTCACATTGGCAAAACTCATGAGGCCAAGTTCCAACTCAATAATATAGATTCAGAAATAAAACTACCACTGGTAGCCATTTCTGTATGCTCAAAAACAGGCCAAATCCTAATAAAAATTTAGCTTGACAAGTTTGAAATTAGAACATTAATTAAATCTTTGATGATATCAGGCTAAGATAAGGATTGACTCTTAAATGGACTATTATGTTATTAATTTCATATATTTGTGTGTCTGTATTCATAATAGGACAAGATTTTTTGTTTTTTTTTTTTCTTTGTTGGCTTTTTGCTTTTTTATGCTTACTGGCTCTGATTGACAGTTTCTCTTGTAAATATTATAGACTGATATTTCATTAAAAACATTAAACATTTCCTAGAACTCTTGTATTTTTAATAAAATTTTGTATTTTTCTCATATATTCCATTATTTCTTTCGGTGAGTAATTACTGAGTGCTGGGGATTTAGCGGCAAATTAGACAAAGGTTTCCATCTCATGAATCTTACAGGGTAGAATGAGAAACAAAAGTTAGCAAGCAACTGCAGCATAATATTTTAAGTGTTACTCAGTGTACCAGGCAGTCATACATGAAGGACACCCAACTTACTCTTGAGAGATTGGGGAAGTCGTTCCAGATGAGATGATCTCTAATTTAAACCTGAATGGATGGTACAGATTAGATTGATGAAATTAGAGTGATAAAATTGGAGGAGTAGGAAGAGAAAAGTGTTTCCAACAGAAGCTCAACCTAAGAGATGTGAGAACATGGCACACACATGGAAATACATGAAAAGCATGTCTCTGAGCTTGGAGCTAAAGTGTGAAAAAGATAATGGAAGGAGATGAAGGGCATTATTGGAAAATTTTAAACAGTGAAGAAAAATAATGAAATCTGTACTATAGAAAGATATTACCGACTAGAATGTGGATAATAAACTAGGAGTGTCAGGGGGCGAATTGGGGGGGCTAGGACAAGGGAAGCCTGGAGTCAGAGTCACCAATTAGAAGGTTTTTATAATAATCTGCATGAAAGATAATTATAGTCTGAATAAAAGTAATTCCAGATTGCATAAAAATAAAAAGACAGATGTATGATATATAAAAGAGGTAAAACTGACAAGATTTGGTTATCAATTGGGTGTGGGGTGAAGGAAAATTGGGGATCCCTGAGGATGCTAAAGTTGTGGTTTAAGTTGTTGAGTGGATGGTGTCATCAAATGGAAAATATTCTGGGAAGGTTTTGGGTGAAGATGATGAATTCAGCTGTGACGATTATTTTGCTGGGAAATTCAGTGGAGATGTTTACCAGATATTGGTTGATATGAGCTTGGAGCTCAGGAATGAGATCTGGACCGGACTGGAGATGAGTTCTGAGATTCATCAGCGTATTCATTTTATCTGAGTGTTGGAATGTTGAAGCAATTGCCTGGGAAATGGAATTAAAAGGAAGGATGAAGAAGGATAAGCTGAGAAGGACTCAGAGAAGCAAAGGCAAAGGTGTAAGAGGAAACTCAGGAGGGCAGGTCACATAGGAGAAAATTACAGACATATCTCAACTTTGCCTGCTGTCATAGAGAGAAACATATGGACTGGAAAAAAACTCACTGAATGTAACAGTAAGTCATTTGGGTAAAAATTATGTAAGTAAAGTGTTGAATAGAAACCACATTTTTGTGTGGGAAGTAAATGAGGTGGAGAGGATGAAGAGACCAAGTATAGAAAACTTACTCAAAAGACTTTATATTTGTAAAGAGAAAGATATAGATCAGTAGATGCAAGAATATTTGAAGTCTATAGAAAATTTTTCTTATGATGATAAGATTAAAATCATTTAACGATATCAAATGATTATTAAATGTTAATGATATCAAAATTTAACTCAGAGAAAGTTTATTGTTTTCCAAGATTGTTTGTAATGCCTCATTTTGCCTTCAGGAGCCAGCAATGTGTGTAAGGCCAAGTGGGAAGTAAGGGAAAAAATCAGTTTCAAGAAAAATGTCGAAAGAAGAGGGAGATAGAAGAGGGGAGAAAAGCAGAAGAATGTCAAGGACAGAAACCCAGCAAACATCACATTTAACCAGGGGACAGAAGAAGTTAAGCCATCACAGGCAATTGCATAAAGTGATCAGATAGTGTGAGTTAGGAGGTATGGTGTCCTCCAGTCCTAGGAAGAAGAGTATTTCCAAAAGGAGGGTGTCAGTATTATCAAATATTGCCAGCTGAGAAATGCAGACAAGACTCATGAAATTTCCATGTGTGATATTTACCTGTGAGAGCAGAAAGAGAAATAGGTCATAACTAGAGAGTGAGACCAAATCTAAAGAAAGAAAGATGGCTAAAAATCATTTGTATCTAACTCAAATGTGAATTTATCTGAGAAAATTTACCTGAAAAATCCAGAAGGAACAAAAAAATTTTCCCTTTTCTCAATGGTTCTACAATGCACTCTTTTATATTATGACTACCATACAATCAAGCAATTTTACTTCTAGGGACTTATCCCAGAGGAACGAAGACTTATGTTTACATAAAAAAAAAATCTATATATACATGTTTATAGCATCTGTATTAATAATAGGCAAAAAAAAAAACCTTCAATGAGTAAATAGTTAAACAAATATTGATATGTCCATACCATGGAATACAACACAGCAATAAAAAGGAACAAATTATTGATATATGCATCAATCTGGGTGAACCTCCAGAGAATCAAACTGAGTGAAAAAAGCCATCCCAAACAGTATATACTGTATGGTTACATTTAAATAACATTCTTGAATTGACAAAATTATAGCAATGGAGAACAGATTTTAAGGAGAGATTGGGTGTGGGAGAGAAGTAAGTAAAACTATAAAAGAGCAACATGGAAATGTTTTGTATCTTGCATATATTGATATCATTATCCTAGTTGTGTTATTTTATTACAGTTTTGCAAGATGTTACATTGGGGGAAACTGGATAAAGAATACACAGAATCTCTCTCTATTATTTCCTGCAACAACATGTGAATCTATAATATTCTCAAAACAAAGAAATTTAATTTTCTAAAATACTTATAAGCCAAAAAAAGTAGAATATCATAAATAGTTGAAAGAGCACTAGTTTTAAAGTCAAACTGTCTTAGGGTTGAATCCTGAGTCTACCACATTTTTAGCTATGTAAACTTTACCTGACTGAGTCTTAAATAAATGATAGTCATCAAGATCATCATCATCATCAACACCATCAGAACCTATACAGAGTACTTACTATGTGTCAGTCACTGTTTGAAGCACTTTGCATATTTTAACACATTTAATTCTCCAAACAGCCCTATCAGGTAGATATCATCATTATCTTAATTTTAAATATTGAGAAACTGAGGCACAGAAGGGAAAAGTAATTCACTCAGGGCAACATAGTAACTATCTAACGTGCATCTGAACCCTGGTGGTCTTCCCCCAGACTTGACATCTGCCCCTAACATTGATGGTGCTCAAATAGAACAACAGCAAAAGTGGAGGCCCCCTACTATATGTCTAAATGCTTAAAAGTTATAGATCAAACTGTTAAAAATATACAGTTTATCCTTCTGTTTTGACGAATATACTGTGTAACCACTTGGAAGATTAGGTTTGAATTTAAAATTCTCAGACTCTTCATAGCTCTACTCTATTAGCATGGCCTACCTTCCTTCACTTTCCACCCATGGTTTTGTTCCACACTGTGAGAGACCTCTTTGCACATTTGGGTGGACATCCCAGGCTGAAAATTCAAGTCCTGTCCACACTCAGGCTAAGGGTATGCATACCACTGAGTCAGCATGCCTTCGGTGGATGAACTTGGAGAATAGGACTATGCAAACCCTGGAAACACAGAACTTTTACACAGCGAATTCCAGGGTCCTGAGTAGAAGAAGCATGGTCTAGAAGTTGAGGGATGGGCTCTGGGTGGAATGGCTTCTTGGATCTGTAGAATAACCCCCCACACACATACACCCCAGGGAGAGGCACAGTTGAAAGAGACCCAAAGTGAAGTCCAGAGTAGGGGTTCCCTCTTACTTAGGTCTGATACCAGCCTCATTTCAATAAGAACAATACTTACCTTTCATAGTTATGAAGATTTCAGCTAATTATATGAGGTCCTTCTTCCATACTGTGCAAGATGTATGCTAATGCGCTGCATTAGAGGGAAGACGTGGCCGTTCTGCTAATATTTGCAGTTATACTTTAATATCAAGTAGTGCATTTTCTCAGCATTAATATTTTACAGTTAAAATATATTGCTTCTTTTCTTGGTAGGTGGACTGGAGACTTTTACCAGATTTCTTAAAACTGAATTCAGTGAGGAAAACATTGAATTTTGGATAGCCTGTGAAGATTTCAAGAAAAGCAAAGACCCTCAACAAATTATCCTTAACGCAAAAGAAATATATGAGAAATTTATACGCAATGATGCTCCACAAGAGGTAAAGATGATGGTAAAAAGTTACGTCTGTTCGAAAACTTTTTGAGAGACTCTGCCTTCATCAAATTGGTATGCCTGTACATTCTACCGGAAAGGCCAGGGTTTTGTTGAAGCAAAAATGGTGGTTATTTATGTAGATTTCTACATACAAACAGAATGCATTGTAACATATTGCCATGGAAGGAGAGGTATAATTGAAGTCACTCCTCAGGGTTATTTTTATTCTAGACTAAGAGTGAATGTAATTAATCGCAATATTTAGATTGATTCATTTATAATACTAATCACCTTAGCTCAAGCAACCTCTCTTAGAAACTAAAGATTTCTATAAGCAATGAAGGCAAGAGAAATCAGGAAGTTTGTATCATGTACCATTTTGATGTTTGCTCATCTGCCTATACAAGGTTTTGTTTGCCCCGAAATGATTATACCTCCACCGTAAGGTAGACTAAAAGAAAATTTCATAATAGAGAGATGAAGTAAACCTAATTTGGCAATGGTTCAACTGAAAATACAATCATGATTTTCTTGGACTGTAAGCTCAGTATGAGGTAATTGTGCGAAACAATTGCCAAAATGGCTATAAAACTAGAAAATATTACTTGATTCTCTTCAAATGTGAGTTAAACGGAGTTTCTATATTTTTGTGTGTTCAATAAATAGTGTCTTTTCATTGAAGCAGTAGAGCTAGTCATCTATCACTGTTAAGAGTTCTGTTTGACTGTAAACTAGTATTGTCCATGAGGTAGCATTGTCCATGTAGATATTGTCCATGTGAAATGATAGTTATTTTCCTTGTTTCAGTATGTTTCAGTCTGTTTTGTGTTGCAATGAATTATTCTGTCTTCCCCGTGGCCAACCTTATACACAGGTAAAGGCAGCTAGTTGTATGTTGCTACCCACCAGGGAAAAGGAAGAACCTCTTCCTGAAAACTCACCACATCAGAACCAGATATGTCATCAGTGCTTTGATAAAAAGCATTAAAATATTTTACATCTTTCTGGGGCTGGCCTGGTGGCGTAGTCGTTAAGTTCGGGCACTCTGCATTGACAGCCTGGCATTTGCAGGTTTGGATCCTAGGGTGGACCTATACACTGCTCATCAAGTCATGCTGTGGTGGCGTCCACATACAAAATTGGAAGATTGGCACAGATGTTAGCTCAGTGACAATCTTGCTCACCAAAAAAAATATTTTATATCTTTAAAAGATATTCATTTTCAGCACATATTTGCTTATAGGAAAACATCATAATATAATGAAAAGAGCCCTTGGATAAAAAAAAAAAGCCATACATTGAAATCCCAAATATGCCCCAAATTCACTGTGTACTCTCACTCAAAATAATTTAATTTCTACAAAGTTGAGTTTCCACTTGAAAATGAATTGAAACTAATGATCTCTATGATACTTACTATTAATATTCCATTATTCTAAATTAGCAGACAGTGAGAAAGACCAGGAGCATAGGGAGAGAAGAGCCAGATGAAATGCCAGCTCAGAGCAAATCACTGGATCCCTAGACCCACAACAGGAGAAGCACCCAAGTGGCCAAGTGCACTATGCCCGCTCCAACATTGGGTCCCTGCTGTACTGTTTGTTTCTCAAAGCTGTTTACTTAAGTAGATTGACTATAATTACACTTTTTTAATTATTATCCAGGTTAACCTTGATTTCCACACCAAAGAAATCATTGCGAAGGGTATCACCCAACCCACCCTCCACAGTTTTGATGCTGCACAAAGCAGAGTGTATCAGCTTATGGAACAAGACAGTTACACACGTTTTCTGAAATCTGACATCTATTTAGACTTGATAGAAGGAAGACCTCAGAGACCAACAAATCTTAGAAGACGATCACGTTCATTTACCTACAATGAATTCCAGGATGTAAAGTCAGATGTTGCCATTTGGTTATAAAGAAAATTAATTTTGCTTATTTTGATGGCAAATTGTACATCAGCTTCTAAGATATAACATGTTTATGTTAACAAATGGGTACATCTTTTAAAGCAAAATGTGTCATGTGAAAGGATTTTAAAAATGTAAATCAAAATTTTTATTCTAACAAAATGTACTGTATCTGCCAATATAGTCTGTAAAACTTTCCATTTGACTTCACTCCATTCATAATCAAAAAAACTTATTACTTAATTAAAACGCAGCAAAGAAGTAATAACAATGTTTTATAAGATTGTAAAGTTAAGGTTAAGCTTTTGTAAAATTGTCAATAGTTTGACCAAATATCTAGTTTGGACGTTTTTCTAGATATAAACTACATAATACTCAGATATCCCTATATTCTGACAATATTTTTCATAATGATGAAGACTCTCTCTATCTCAGTTTTAGAGAGTATAGAAGTGATCCAGTTCTTACAATGGGAGAGGACAATCGTTTGTTCTTAGATTACTACCCCTGGCTATACCCCTAACTTCTGGTTCTAAGCCAGCAACAGGAACTTTGGGGAGAACACATCCATCTCTACAGAACTTGCAGGTTAAGCATGACCCAGGTTGATAATTGAGAATGCAATCCACATTTAGGTTCATTCCTAAGTGAGCATGGACTCACCCAGTTACATGGAGCTCACTTCTGCTGGTCACAGAAACATGACCAGATGTGCATAGCTCCACGTTGGGACTGCGAGGAGCATCTTCTCACCTGTAAAGAGAACTTGCTACTAATATAGGCACAGTCAGTCATTTGAATGGCAACCAGAGGAGGTTTATCCCAGGAGTAATTAGCCCTCATTTTTGGACTTTTGGGATTGGGGCAAAAATTAGAAATAAGAGGAGGTAAAGAAGCAAGGAGCTCAAGGTTCTGGAGACTCAGGCATCTGCCACATTGGCTCATATTCAGAAAATGTTCCTCCCTGGATCACAGTCTCCTTCCAACTCTTATGGAATCACTTAATACTACGTTATTCAAATAAGATTATGCTAATAAGTATATACATCTCTACTTTAGGGAAATATTTAATTTTAGATGTGTGTTGCATGGTCTGTAAATGTCTATATTTAAAGAGCCATTCATTTGACTTTGGCAAACATTATTTTAGTTGAAATGTAAAATATAAAAATCTTAGATCACTTATAGTAATAAATATTTTAATTTCTCCATTCATACAGTTGTTTGTTTGACCACTAAATGTTCTCACTGATTTTTGATTATCCTTCTTGTCATCAAATGAGACATAGACATATTTTCTTATTTGAGAATGATATTGGGATGGAAAGTACTAATTGAGGTATTTGGCACTGATCTTAATGCTAAATCGATTCCTTATGCTGCTGTGAGTAGGAAAACAAGGTATCGTGCATTTCAAAGATCAACTAAGAAGTGATTTTTAATATTTCTTTGGCTGATTTGTATTTTCGTTTTCCGTGGCAGTCTGTTTTCAAAGAGTTTGCTTTACACACAGAATTAAGACTTGATACAAGCTCTCTGATCTCATCAGAAAAAATCATGGGCTGATTTTAACAGCATTGTTCTAGGACCAGAGATATGTGTTATGTAGCTTTTTCATTTGTCATACTTTTCAGAAGCATCCAATATCTCGTTTAAATTATGAACTATTCAATGAGACCTTTCAAAAACCTACTAGGACTTTTTTAGGAAATTAATCTGTGACTTTAAGGAGCTTGTATCTGTGGAAGAGACATGTAGCCAAATAAAGAAAACGAAATAAACAATTGGAGAAGTGAAAGAAGCCAAGTAAAAACATGCAGACAGTACTGAACACTGGCTGAATGAATTGCAGAAATGTATAAAAACTTGAGAATCTGAGAGCTTCAACGCCTGGGCTCCCTAACCAGATGTGTGATCCTCAGAAATTTGTTTAACTTCTAGGCATCCTTACCCTATACATTTTTTCAAGATAAGAACGCACGATTTCTAATTTCTAATCTTATTTCTGGTCCCAAATATTTTGATTCTAAGCAGATCACCTGATATTCTCCAAAGGACCTCTTGATTGATCCCCAAGCAAGGAACAGAGGCAAATAATTTAGGTTAATGAAGGACTATTTCAGACTAAAAATTAATGAAGGGTACTGGTCTAAGAATAGGGGACAATTTTCTAGAAAACTTAGAAATACATAAAAAGAAAGAAATCACAGGAAATATAGCTTATATTTTTTTGGCCAGTCATGTATAAAAATAGAATTCTTTAAAGATGTAATTGGGTTGAATTAGACAATTTGAGGTATCTTGAAGCCCACAGGCAAAAGTCGGTACCTAGACTATTATATTTTGAATATACTAGAAGCTCGATAAATGACTGTGGAATCAAATGGAAGCCATAGGAAGTATTATGAAGAAGGCCGTATAATATTTCAGCAAAAGGTAAGGCTTCCAAATGTGACATATTTTTATTGGAGTCCTGGCTCTGCCACTTATCAAGTGCAGTATGTTGGGAACGTTATTTAAATATTCTGAACTTCAATTTTTCATTTGTAATATTGGAATAAAACATTTACAGTGTTCTTAAGATGATTAAACTTAAAAATATTTGTAAAGTGCCAAGTATAGATTAATTGACTTGAGTGCATGGACAGGATTATGGAAATTATTCCCTGTATTTAAGTCTCACATTTTAATTACAATATAAATTTCCTAATAACGCCTAGGTTACAAATCGAACAAATATCCTTTGAGAATAATGAGATTTCTTGAATAAAACTTGGGGACAGCTATTGTTCTCACCAACTCTTTTATAATTTTGCACTACATAGAAAAGTAAATAATGACATTTTAGCTAAATGGAAAATATTGGAACATTAAAAGCTTAAAAATTCTTCTAAAGACAAAGATGAAAAAAACTTTTTAGTTATGTGCAGTGTAGCCCTCTTTTAGGAGAAAAAAAGAGAACAAAGCATATTGAAAATATATAACCCCAGAAATGCTCACAGATTTAATGATAGCATTCACTACATTTAAACACATTAAATTTATTTTTGTCGTGTCACATTAACTGGCGTTATATACAATTTCATTGCTCTTTAATTATCATCTGTCTAAAAAAGAAAACAAAACAAAAGCCCTTGCCAGTTTAACCACGGGTGTGTTTATCTACATCACCTGAACTCTTTTCAACAATGAAAATAAAAGGTAATATAACATATTGAAACCCATCTCCTGTAACGTGTTGAATGAATGAACAAATATTTATTGAATGCTGTGTATTTGATTGGTACTGTTAGCTGCTGGACGTTCAGAAGTGAATCAAACAGAAGGAGTGAAAGAGAGAGAGAAAAAAACTTTCTTCATGGTACGTTCTCTGATAAGGTTTGCATTCTACAACACGCAGCTGAAAGCCACGCTTTAAACTAGACTTTCCTTCATATTTATCCCAAATAGCAAATCCATCTATGACTGACGATGCAGATATCACTTATCTTTTGAAGCTAGGAGATGAGTAGCCAATTTCTTCTTTTGTTTAAGAGAAACGCGGTAGACCCACTAAATTGCACAAATTTTGCATAAAATAAAAACAGACCTAACTAAAAGCATACACATATATATAAACACATAAGTGGTAAAATATTGCATTTGAAAAATAAAGAAACAGTATGAACTGTGATTTTAAAGGATATAATAATTTTATGGAAAATCCACACATAAATGTGGAACTTTGTCTTCTAATTGAATGTTCTATAATAGAAAAACAACTTTTAGAAGATATAAACAAAGGAAATACTTTAAATATCATAGATTCAGTTAAAAGAACAATATTAACTTTCAGATAGTCTGTTTACAGTCTCATCTCTGATATCTTTGCCTATACGCAGAAAATAAATAATAGTTGTAGAGAAAATGAAGACTGAAACCTTGTTAAATTTGGATCTATTAAAAAATATCAAAATTGTGCTTAATAGACTATTTACAAGAGCAAGGAAGTGAATGAAAAATATTTGGAAGGATTGTCTTCAACTTGTGAAACCCAACAATTATTTTCCAAATACTGAACTATTATTGTTCCATGCAAAGAAATTGGAATATTTAAACATGAACTCAAATGAGGTCAAATCAGCATGAATGATACCAGTGACACATCTATTTAGTAACCCATAGCTTAGCCTGTACGTAATCTATCCTTATTTAATCATGCAGAGCCTCTGTAGCTCAATAAATATTTGCTATAGCTTCACCTCTGTTCCAGTCACTGTACCAGAAGGTAGGAATGCAAAGGTGAATAATGTGTAGAGTCCATCATTGAGGATATTACATCCAGTGGTATTCCTATGTAGGCAAGCACATAAACCAGTCATTTCAACATAACATGCAAAACATTCATATCTCCAAAACAGGGCAACACAGTTTCACACAATGTAGTGAAATACCAGAGCCACACCTTTGTGTCTTCGCAATACGTCTGAGTATGTTTTATAGTATGGGGTTAGGTATCTAATTGCTATCCCTCCGTTGAAACTTGCTTTAAAATGCCAGTCTCTGGAAACCTGAACCAATCTCATGGAACAGATAAACTAATTTCATTCACACTATGATGTGATTCATTACAGCCTCCCTTTAAGTAGAGCTCCTAGAAATGTATTTGGGTTTTATTCACAGAAAATTACTTAACATAGAGGCTTTAGAAGTAAATTTTTGATAGAAATGTGAAAAGCAGAATGTTAAGAGACACCGAAAAATGAATATCAACCAAAAAATCAGATATATGATACCTTAAACTAGAAAGTAAATTCATTGAAAAATCATAAATCAACCCATAAAATTTTATTTATCTATATTATTCATAAGCATCTCTACTGTGAATAATAAACACATTCTCTAAAAAAAATCGCATGATCATGAAGGAAACAATAGCCTTGCAATTTGGCCCATTAATTTATTTTTTCCTAACCAATTTAGGGTATATTTTCTTCTATCCTGTTTTTCATTTAGTTTTTTCTCCAGATGGCTATTTTGCCAAGAATTTGTAATTAAAAGAAATTTTCATGGTGTTATATAAACATATATGTAAAAATATATCAACTGTTTGATTTTTAAAAGATAATAATGATTATAATTATTCTTCAGTCTACTAGGTAAAGTGTATTTTCTCTGCCATGCAATACCACTATTTCTTCCTCATTGAAGAAAGTCCTGAGGCAAACGTTTTGGGTGATATAATAAGACAATATTTATACTTTATAGAGGATTTTGATTAGAAAATTAGGATTATAAATAACAGATAAAAAGTAATTGGAAAGAAATCAATAAAATAGTAATTGTTGTGCTTTAAAAAATCATGTTTCTGAAAAGAAGCATTTTTTTAATCCCTGAATATTGCAAATATTATTGATTGTGTTTATTCTGGCAACTGTCGGTATCTGCCTAAAATGGAAATGATATCATTTAATCTTCATTTTCTCATTTTTCATACAGAATCTCTGAAGCCTTTAGAAATTTAGGAGTAACTT